GGCTGACTTATAGACAAAAGATTTATTGCTAATATAGCCTCCAGTTACGGCTGACTTATTTTACGTTACGGCTGACTTATTAACGTTACGGCTGAATTTGGCATCTTAAAAAACATTTTAGTAATTACTTAAATATTTTTCATGTTGTGGCTGACTTAATTTGTTTTGATGGCTGACTTACTGAGTTACAAAGTTGTTTGGTGGCTGACTTACGATTTCAAATTCACAATTCCACGTCAGCATAAACGAGGGAAATACGAAAGGTCCCGCATTAGCTCGTGTTTTTTCTTACACTCTGTTCTTCATTTCTGTTCTTCACTTCACTTCTGTTCTTCATTTTCACTTCTGTTCTTCATTTTCACTTCGGTTCTTCACTTCTTTTCTGCATTTTCACTTCTGTTCTTCACTTCTTTTCTGCATTTTTACTTCTGTTCTTCATTTTCGTTGATGGATCATCCGGTTCCAGTGATTGTTGTGTTTGGTAACTGGGCAAAGAAACAAAAATATGTATTTAACACTGACGATAGAGGTTGTAGAATTGTGCAAATAGATGCGGAAACAACGAACGAGAAGCTAGTGAAATTGATTCTTGATGACTACGGACTGCATCAACGTGACCTTTCGTCTTCTTTAATATAATAACTCAGCCGTAACATAACTCAGCATACGGAATATATTCATGTTATGTTACTGATAACTCAGCCGTATAAGGTTACTGATATCTCAGCCCAATATGTTACAGATAACTCAGCCATAACCCGACCTTTCGTCTTCGTTTCCCGTACGATAACTCAGACATCACATTAACCAACACAACTTTCCGTCTTCTTCTTTTATCTCTCTCATCTGATCCTTCCTTTATATATCAGTTTTCTTTTGAATGTTGTTTGTTCTTTCTAAACTTCTTTTTGAATTTTTTTGTAATCCCAAACATATATCTTATCTTTTGAATCATGTTTTTATCAATTTTTATTCATTTTGGCCATTTTAACAGACCTATAACTCAGTCGTAATGTTATCAATAACTCAGCCGTAACGGAATCACGTAAATAATAGGTTATTGATAACTCAGCCGTAATGTTATCCATAACTCAGCCATAACATAGTATAAGTCAGCCATAGCCTAAATATGCGTTATGTCAATTACTTTGTTATAACTCAGCCGTAACGGAATCATGTAATTAATAGGTTATTGATAACTCAGCCGTAATGTTATCTATAACTCAGCCATAACGTAGTATAAGTCAGCCATACCCTAAATATGCGTTATCTCAATTTTTAGTTATAATCAAGTTATGAAATCACTTAAATCACATAAATATTAGGTTTAAATATGATACAATCATGTTACCATATTATTCATCAATAATTTAGACTTTGTTGGTAACATTTCGAAAACTATCACACAAGAACAAGTTTCTAGTCATAACCAACACTACATAATTTGAATTGGATGAAATTGTGTAAATTTTCCATTTTCTTTTCAAAATTAACAATCTTAACATGCATATTTGCTTGATAATATATATTTATTATATGTCATATCCATTATATACTTATATAATTGCTAATTATAAATTATAACTATACTCATAACTCAGCCGTAACTTGAACACATTAACTTAGCCGTCACATAGTTATAAGTCAGCCATACCCCATTTCTCATTTAACATGAAAATAAATCTTAAACAACACAAATTACAACATAATCAGTCTAAACATCATGAAACAACAATTATATTCTCTCCCATAGCCATACAATTGCGATTCCTATTACAGAGAGTAGACAAATTGTCTTCAAAGCTGTCTTACCCATATCATCCTCAATCTTC